CTTTTATTGGGAGTGCTTTTAGCAGGTCATGATTCAAGTACAATGCAAGTTTTCTTTTACAGACATTTAAAAGCTGGATAAATAATGAAAAGCAATAGTGCAAGGAGTTATAGATGATTATATCACAAACCAACAATAAATGGGAAATGGATATTTTAAGCTAGAATTTTGTTATAAATGAAGCCATGTAGAAATATTTATGTAGAGTGAAAAACCAGAACAAATTCTGGTTTCCCGCAGAAATTTTATATTGTGTTTCATGCAGCTGAGAATCTTGGTAGAACTGATTGCTTCATGAGAGGGAAACTGTGTTATTTATGAAGGAAAGTGAACCTAGAAGCTTTCATTTGTTTGTTCTAAAAGCATTTGCTACATTAAAATTATAGAGGCAGATCAAGGCATTTCAGCACCTACGTAGGTCTTAGGTGAAATCTGGGTGTCAAGACACCCAACATTCTCCACTGCAAACTGAAAATTTAAACGAATTTAACTCTACATTTCAAGAACTACACAAGTCCTGATAGTCAGCTTAATTCCTAACTCACATCTGTGCCTGTCTGGAGAAGAGTTAAAATGATGGCATCTATGTTTGTATATTAGACTGCTGGGAATGTTCCCAGACATGATAACTCAGTCATCTAACTGTTAAATTGTTAGAAAGGTCCCTAGTACGGTTTTGACCTGGACCAGCTAGCACTATCCTAAACAACTGCTGAGTACAGTAAGGATTTGCAAAGGCTGAAGGTCAATTAAAGATCATAGGCAATTTGGCTGCAGCCAGCATGTTTTGGAAGAAGAGAATTTAGCAGTATGGAAGTAGGCTGCTCCATGCCAGTTGGACTCAGTGACAGAAAACAGTCCCACGCACACTTGATTTAGTAGCATAGATGTAGCCAGCATGTTTTCTATCTGCCTCCTGGAGGTGCTTAGTTTAGTAGGTGTTGTTGAAAAAACTAAACACCTCACAGGGTTGGGATCTTCAGAAAATGAAGTTATTGTTGACACTGTATTTACACATTGTTCCATTTTTGCCTTTCCCACAAAAATAATACCCACTAGGTTATCCTGGTTTGAAACACTGCCTCCAGACTGAGCTCCTAAGGGAATGAGAATCTGCACTGCCAACCTGTTACTACACAAGGCAACCCTTAAACCAGCCTTTAGGGGAAGGAATTGGGTAGCTGAAGCTGAGACAGTCTTAATCAGCTTTTTTGGAGTAACATCACAGCGCAGAGAAGAATTTGTTCCATCTAAGTGAGAATATAAAGACATGTAAGCAGAAACCTGACACATAGCCTGGCAAAGAAAAATATCACTTTGTGGTGGGAAGACTGGGGTTCCAGGCCTTGCTTCCAAGACTATTGCTCTACTTTTACAATCACTGGAAAGTAGGACAGATGCTCAGATCTCCTTCCCCTAATACAGACCTTGAACATATAGGAGATGCTGTTAATTTTCAGTAACCTTGGAGCTCTGGCTCTGAATTTGACTTGCAGCCATGTCCATCTCTGTTTTGCTAAAGAAAAGTCTCCTTGTGAAGGAGGCAGGAAGAGGAGAGTAGTGTAAGGTCAAATGTCCCAAACCTCCTAGCCATAAGCCAGCACTACAGCTGCTTCAGGGTAGAGCTGTTCTACCTTGCATTATACATTTGGACTTGATGATCTTAGAGGTCTTTTCCAACCTAATTAATTCCATGATTCTATTTCCAATGTGGACATAGTTTTGTAGATCTGATGTCATCTTTAAATAGTTTGTATCAGCTATATGTTACTAATATTTATGGCTGGGATCTCAACATTGGATCCTTGCTTTTAAAATTCAATTTACTCAGGGTTGACTTTGTTTTCTTTATCTACATTGGTCTAAGGTAGAGACCATCTCTACCTACCATAGAGTCTATATCCAAAGTTATCATTAATTTCCACTGCTTAATAAAGTAAGGGTGAATGCCACAGACATCTTTTGACAGCTTTGGTTCACAGCTTCTCCCAATGAACACACAAAACTCAGAATCATTAGTATGGGCCTTCCATACTTTATGTGGCAAATCCTATAGTCTTTATTTAATTACATTTTACACAGAAGCTGATGTCCTGCCACATTACATGTGATATGTTGAACATAATTTAACTCCTTCTATCCTAGAGTGCTAAACAACATGAAGGTTAAAAAACTGAGAGGAAAAAAAAAAAAAAGAAGAAGCTGAAAGCCACTACATTCTGATATTAGTGGTTTGGGGATTGCTTCCATTATGGTATCCAATTAATTTACCCATCCATAGCTAAGCACCATGGAGGCACACTGTATATAATAAGTTCTCCATGTCTTCCTCACCTATGGAGCTGGTTTCAGAGGCAAAGGTCATTTCTTTGGAGTTTGTATCTGAATTATCCTCCTTAGTGACAGTATTTCACTTGATTGGGAGCGATCTTAACCAGATTCCATTCCAAGAAAAGGGAGTAGATGAAAAAGTGAGGCAAAGCACTAGTGTGTATGTCACAGATTTATTGTCTGTATATCCTAGCACATTACTATAAATTAATAGTTGGGTTTCAACAGGACTACCCAATGCTTCTTGACAGGGAATTTGCTTGATGCCAGGATAAGGCATGCCAAGGTCAGATTGCCAAGACACTGAAAGTTGAAATCTATGAAAAATATAAGAACCAAGAGATCAGTGGTAAAGCTGGAGCTACTGATAGTACATTTGAAGAAGTGCCCAGTACTGCTGCTTCCCACTCAACTCAACGGGAGGATTAAAACCAACATGAGGATTGAGGGCTTAAGGCACTACAAAGTCACTGAGTTTCACAAGATCAACCCCAAATGGCAGTTATTGTATCTCCTACAAATATTGTTAGAAACAGATTTACCTTTTAGGTAAATCTGGCCATTCTTGGAAAACCAATGATCTACATTAAAAGGAATGATTTTATTTTATTTTATTTTATTTATTTTATTTTATTTTATTTTATTTTATTTTATTTTATTTATTATTTTATTTTATTTATTTTATTTTATTTTATTTTTACAGTTTATGTAAAATTTAATCATATAAACATATAACTACATTTTAATCTCTGAATCCTGGTTGAAGACTTTTGACTTGTCAGACCCAACTGCCTGGCCCATATTTTGTATATTTTCCTACCTGTATTCTATTTCCCACCTTAATATTCTATTAAAAAAGATTTGTTTACTTGACTCTGAAGTTAAGACTTTTGAAATTTAAAAACTAAATTAGGACTTCACATGACTTAAACTTAACCATGTTTTCACACACAATCAAGAATTTGCTATTTGCATATGTCTGTATTGAATAAATTTGTCCTGAGACTGCAGTTTTTAAAAATTTGTATTGAATTGATCCGAAGCACCTGATATGTTGAAAGTTCAAAGTGTAGATGTCTGTGACAGCTCAAATGCATGGGTTAATAGACCCAAACCATTCACCTTGGAATGCTTTGCATATAATTTTAATGGTGTCTTGTATAACAGGATTTTGGTTTGTTCCATACAGCCAAAGCTGGGAGAGAAAGCAGCTTCCATTATGTGTTATTATTTCCAGTAGAGTTTTAACTCATACAGCTTGTGTGCAAACAAAAAACCCACAACTTAATAAGTAAAGAAAAAAAGAGAAATTTGAAACTGTTTCTTTAAATAAAAATTTCCATGCCAGCTGTACATCATGTAATATTCTTCATAACACGATAACCTAATGTGTACTATCCATGTCTTTGAGTTTGACCCAGATGAAGCTGGTTGCTTAGCTGCAGCCACAGGGCCCCAGGGATGGGCCATAGCAGACAATAAACATGCATCTCTGGCTCCTTGGTTGCTTGAGTGACTTTGTATCATTGGACCTTTGGTTTGAGAAGGAAAACAAATTCTGAAACAGTGTCTCCTGGATTTCTTCACCCAGCTCTGACTGCAAATAGTAATAAATTCATGTATTTACTGTATCACTGAGGCCCACTTTAATAAGTGTTTACTCTGTATTTCCAAGAAAAAAAAAGTTGTCCAAGTGATTACCATGACAACCACTGGCTCTGAAAAAGCATTTAGCTTTATAACTTTTTGATTCTCATTTTAAGTTATCCTCCCAGATTTTGATCTAATCTTAATTTAATTTTGTGTGTCACAGTGATAGTCTGGGAGTGAAATGAGAGAAGTGCCTCAGTTTAAAACACAGTATTTCACACATCTGCAGTTGGAGTCATATTGCAGGTGGTGGCAAGTGTGTGAGAATCTCTGGGTACACAGTTTATACTGCACTCAGATCAGAGTGTGAAAGGTGTGATAGATATTGGGGTTAGAAAGAAAAGGAATTGAATGTCTGCTAGACATCTATTGAGTATTTTCTTCTTATGGTGGTAGACTGTAGGGCATTTGAAAACACCCTCTTCCATAGACCGAATATCTTTGGATTTCAGTTCTATTCTTTGGATAAGTAGAGTAAACCAAGCCCCATGCTGTCCAAAGCAGTTTTCCTGAAATCACTGGTAAAAACTGAATGAAAAAGATCTGTAGGGTATGCCCCCAGTATGTTTAAAAATTGAGATGTTTTCCCTTCTCTACATCCCTTAGATGTAATCAAAAGCTTTTATCTCAGCCAATTTCCCCTGCAATGAGGATGCTTTGTAACTCCTTGTGAGCACTAAACAATCAGTACATTTAACTTATGGAAAACTCCTCTAAGTCATTGTCTAACAAAGATCTACTGACAACTTCATCTTGAATTCAGCAGGCATGGACCCAATCCCTTTCACAACCAAGGACTTTCCAAAATGGAATTCAGGCTGATCAAAATGAGAAAACACTGTGAAATTCAGGTAGTCATGTGCAACCTAGATAGGACAGGGCATTTCTTGTTGCTCTAGAGGAACACATCAACATAAAGTTTTGTGTATGTATTTACTCAAACATTAACAGCAGCCTCTGCTGAGCTTTATTTTCCAAACTGGGAACATAACAACCACACAGCTACTAAAGATAAAATGTTTAGGTAAGAAACAAATGTGATTTTTATTTTTGTTTAAAGTAACCATATTTTCACAATCTAACATAATAAGTTTAAAGAGATACTGTCAACACTACACATTTGTTAGAAAAGACATTCACTATTATCTCTGCCAGTCAGAGGAATACATGGGGCAAAGTTTCCATAACAAATGACTTAGCAAAAGTCTGTCTGAAACAGGTTGATGATTTTCAGATTTTGGGGCTATGACCAAGAAAAATGTTGCTTGCTGGTCAAAGACTTGCCATGTGCATCAGACACCATCCCTTGGAGACTTTCTTTTGGAATTTGCCTAGGCAGTAATACCTTGATTTAAAATACATGGATGATGGAGTTAAAGCCACTGTGGAAGAAAATGACTGGCTGGATTTATGTGTCAGAAGCTAAATCAGTTATATGCTCAACCTGTAAGAAGAAGAATTAAAAATAAATAAATAAATAAATAAATAAAATGAGGAAAGCAGGAGAACATAGCTTGCTGCCTTTGGAAACAACTGACTTTCTGTACTGCCTCGTCAGCTTGATGGTGCACCTAGTTCTCCTGAGACCATGGACTCAGCTGTGTCCAGAGATGTCTGCACAATCCAACACTGATTTCATCTGCTCCTGTTTTATGAAACAGTCTTTCACCCATGTACCTGCGTAGTACTGCATATACTCATTGTTTTCTTGAGGAAGAGAATGCAAAGATAGAGAATCACAGAACAGCTGAGGTGGGAAGGGACCTCTGGAGGTCACCTTCTCCCACTCACCAGCTCAAACAGGGACAACCAGAGCAGGGCACTGAGGACCATGCTGAAGTGGCTTTTTAAGATCTCCAGGGAGGGAGACTCCACAGCCTCTCTGGGCAACATAATATCAATTCACAGCTGCTTTTTGAAGACTTAGCAACCAAATCTAGAGACCAGCTTGCACAGTGTATTTTGGCTGGTGTTACCTAATTTGAAGGGTTTTCTTTTTAATCATGCAAACAAGTTCTCATTTGCTCTAAAAACACTAACTAAGATCAGATGTCCACTATTCCCACATCGCAACCTAATTAGAATATTTAGTTATTAATAAATGGGCACAGTGCCCTGCTCTTCCCTTTCCTCTCCTTTTGCACAGTGACAAGGCAACATACAGGTCATAAGCCTTCAGTTCAAGGGAGGTCCCTCAGGGGACTGAAGAGCATTTCTGAAGACCAGGTGACAGCATGGCAAGGTGGACAGTGGTGGACATGGGGATGTCAGGGGGTGACAGCACCTTTTGAGCACAATTGTTTAGACCTGATCCATTAGTGTAAAGTAAATCTCTGGCATACACAACAGTTATCCATACATATGCATTTGAGAGGACATAATGTATAGACAGATATTCAGAATGAGTTGTTTAAATAATTATCTTGGATACAGAACATCAGAATAAAGCAAAAACGACTTTATATGTTTCTTCTTTATCTTGACAAAATTAATTTGAGGGAATTAATTGTATTTGCAAGTTCTCACCTTTCCCACCTCATCATTAGCTTCCCTGGTGCAGGTTGTTAACAGGATCCACCTCAAAGTATCCACCAGATGTTTGCAGGGACATTAAGATATTTTAGGCCTCAGGAAAGGCGCTACAAACTGAAAGGAAAACAGGTTCAGAAAGACAGAAGAAAAACTTCTGTTTATTTCCTTGTAACATCATCTCAGATCTTTCCTGCATCAAGTTGGAAATGCCTTCAGTACCTTTAGTAGTGAGTTGGTTCAGTTTCTCTCTTTGTTAAGGTTAAAAACAGACCTGCGAAAGTAGACATGGCAGTCCTTTGGAACAAGGCACCACCAGTACACTTACATAAGTTGCTATAAAGTTGTTTGAAGTTGATGCATTTGCCACCAAAGATTTAGGATGAATATGCTCGTATATATATCTTCATACGTATACATCAAATAAGACCATGTACATAGTCCCTACCATTGCTTATTTGAAGAACACTTTATTTTATGAGTTAGTGGACTTTATCAGCATTTATGGCTTATATGTACACACACACACACACACACATATATAAAGTAAAAGCATTCAATTTTTAAGTATTAGTATATCCAGTTTAGAAAGAAAGAAAAGAAAGATTGCTGTTAAAATACCCTTTTAAAATTATGTTTCCCTAAGGAAAATTAATTAAGGATCCTGGAAAATGTTTCAGTCCCTTTCTTGTACCATAATCTAATCCTGAAGGACACTCTTTGATTCACTTCTATAATACTTTGTTTTTTCCCTCTCTTGTTATTTTATTTTACTTATTCCCACAGCCAGCTTCAAATGACCTCAAGAACACAGGGCAGCTAAAAGATTGCTTAAACTTCTTAATACTTTTAATCCTTACTTGTTATAATTTGATTACTGAGACAGATTTTCTCTCTGGGCCTCATATTAAATCACTTTCAAGTTGAAACAAACCAGAAATCCTTTCAACTTAACAGAGCTTGTATTCAATATGAGCTAGTCAGAAGTAGCACAGACTGTAGGATGTTGCATCACATGCTTCCTGCATTTTAACTACAGGGAGAGCAAACTTCAATCAATGTTACACATGAACTTACCTTCATAGCGTATCTCTTTTTCAAGAGCAAACATGAGTAAGTATAGTTTTTGAAGTGCATGTATATGCATGTGTATAAATGTGTATGTCTGTACACAGGTAGATAATAGATTTATACGTATATATAACTACTGGTAATATAATCGTCAGAGTTGAAATAACCTCTTTTTTGTAATAAGAATGTCCCTAAGAAGCTTTTCTTTCATGAAACTCATTCCTTACCTCATAAGACATATTGAAAAGAAAAAAAAAAAAAAAACAACTTCTCTGGGACAGCTGTTCAATTGATTGCATAGAATCCTTTCATAGTGATTTCTCATTTTCTTGGGAAAAAAATAGGGTAAAAGAAGATTTCAAATTCAACAATGAATAAGAAATCATATAATGAAACCCATGGCTATGCCACAATAGAAAATTGGTGATTTTTCCATCAGGTTTCATTCTGAAGCTTTTGCAAGAAAATGTTTCTGAGAAGGTGGGTTTTGCCTTAGCTTTTTTGGTTGATCAGAACAAAGTGCAAGCATCCTTTATGTAGCTTTGTGACAGTCAGAGGCAGAGGGCTTGCAAGGTAAATTTTAAGATTTTAAGGATATTAATATGATACTTAATTAACAATCATATGAAGATAAGCTTTAACTGAGTGCTTCTGTCCCTCAGCACAGCCTGCCTCATCCCCCTCTGATGTCCTCCACCACCACCCCACCTTCTGTGCAGGCACAGGGTTCAGGGGAGCACCTGCTCTTGGTACTGATGACCATGGAGGCTCATGTTATTGTAATATGTTTATCATGTTATTGAAAATCTAGTTTTAAAGAACCATAGTGAGTACCTTCCTTTTCCAATAAACTCCCTGGAGCCTGAAAATCTCCCCCTGGCACAGAGGGCACTAATAACAAAGGCTTGTACAGCAGGGATGTTCAGGAAACCAGTGTGGAAACATTACTGCACATGCTCTCTTTGTCATCTTTGACCTTGTGCTGCAGCTGGTGGGGCTCACTCTGCCTCTGAAGACCAGCTGTAATGGAGCACTATGTCACGGTAGAGACCTGCTTCAGCTAGGATGCTTCCAGAATTGAGGCCATGTTTGTTAGCGATGTCTACAGCTGCAAGAGAAATACAAATCCCTGCAGCCCTATACTCTCATCTTGGCAGAAGAAAAGCCCTTTCACCTTTAAAATACATTACAAGAAATGGGCTCAGATTAAATCTCTCGATCCAAAACCACTCAATTCACGGAATGATCGAATCCAGACTCAGTCTCTGCTGGTTGGGCCCCTCACTGGTGTCTGCACATCACTTATAAACACACACAGGTGCTCTGTCAAAAAAAAAGAAGGAATCTTAGGTCTTGTAATGAATATACTACATACCTTTTACAGTATTTCCATCCATGCACAAGTTGAATCAACACAACAGTAACAAGAAAAGCCCCTTCTTAAATGCTAGGTATGTGTTTCTTGTGTTTCTGTAACTTAAAAATAACCAAACATCTCCCTTTGAAAATCTGCAATCATAAAAATTGTTTCCAGGCTAGAAGATTTTATGCCAAGTTCTTTCTGCAGTCTAAAATTTAGAAAAAAAGGAATTTTAATGAAAGCAATGACCAACTGTTAAGTTTAATGCTATTGGTAGGTGCTACTTTCATTTATCTATTGCGTTTGAACTAGGAAAAAATAAAGGAATTAGTGATTGCAAAATTAGAGATTGCAACTGCGGGTAGACTCAGCAGTCTGATTTAAGACTATGGATTCAGTCCTGCAGTTTCCTCATAGACAACTCTACCATGGTATCAAAAGTTTTTTGCTGGGTTGAAGGCAGGTTCCTGGGCTTAATATTTCTCATAAAACAAACAAACAAACAAACAAATAATTTAACTTTCTGAATATTTAAAAAGCACTGAAATTACTGTTTTATTTTTTAAGCCAAGCTATCTAATTTTTTACTATTCAATATGAAATTACTTCACCTGGCTCTGTGAAGCCAGTCTACTTTCACTGGGGATACCAAAATTAAATTAGAGACTTTGTTCATTGTATTGGTTCATCCTCTGCACATTCCAACAAGCAAAGACAAGCTTTTCCATGGGGGAGCCTCCTGCAGCCCCAACACCCAGAACAGAGGAAGGACAGAAAGCAAGCACATGAGAAGCTCACGGAGTGCTGAGGTGTCAGGACATACCTGAATCTGGTCAGGAAGAATGTGAAGTGCAATCCACAGTAGGACAGCTGTGGTTGTTCAACTGTCTTCAGCTTGTTGAGCATGCCAGGTGGGAACTCTGGTTGGCCTCTCAGTGTTCAAATCTGTGCCAAAACATGGACTAGCTGCTGGTACCCATCTGGAGCCCTGCAACCTGCAGAGAAGGAGAATCACTTTGCTCAGAGGTAGCTGGGTAACTATTGGTAACTATGCACAGTGGAGTTCATGGTACACCTGCACCCCCAGGTGCTTACAGCCCACCTAATTCCTACTTTTGTCCTTTAAATTCAGTGTGTACACTCTGGTGCCATGCAATTTCTGTAGCCATAACAGCTGTTGCTGCTTTTGTTAACACCAATCAAGCTTCTTTACCACCTGAGGCATCTGAGCCAATGTACTGGCTGAAGCTGAACTGGGCTCCTGAAGACAGCAGGAATGAAACTAAGCCAAGGAATGTATGTCCTGGTTGCAGCACACATAATGGTGTTTATTTTCTGACCATACCTTCTGGATTGGGTTTGCAGAACGTATGCCCTGTATCTGGTGTAACAAAAGTGGTGTAACCACTTTTTTCCACTCCAGTGGCTCAGGTAGTTCTCACTGCACTGAAACCTCATGTTGTACAGACTAGAGGATATTTTGGGACTGGGACATCCACTGCCCTTCTCTTACAGTTTGGTATGGATCAGGAAACCACTTCTACTTGCACTCTCTGTCAGTAAGATAATTTAAGCACAACTATGCAGGTCATTGAAATCAGTATTTATTTGAGGGAGAAGTCTGGTCTCCTTCCCATTAATACCTAATTCAATGTTAAATAGTTATTTCCTTATGGCTGTGTCTTTCCTCTCCCAAATGTATATCCTGACAAAGCTACAGTTAACTTCACTTTTTATTCCCTCACCAACTTTATATGAAAGCATTTTTTTCCAGTCTTTTAATAGCGTTTGTTATTCTTTCCTGCACCCTCTCCACTGTTTTGCTCTCATTTCTAAAACGTGCAGTAGAGCATTGTACATCACTTTAGAGTTTATAGGGCCCATGTTGCATCAGGGATAGTCTGCATCTCCACAGTCCTGGACTGGTTCCCTCTTTATACACTCAAGAATTGCATTAGCCCTTTTGCTACAGATCACACACAGAGTTCAGGCTCAGTTTTCCACCTGCTGACTCATCAGTTCTTTCCAGGCACTTGTTTCTGGGATCCTGTCTGCAATTTCTGGGTCTGACTTAAGGGCGTTGGTTTTAGACATTTAAGTTTTTCTGCTATCACTATAAAAATGTACATATGTTTTTATTTACTTATGATAATTTATTTATTTTTCTTAATATCACCTGAAATAATATTAGCTCCCTGGAACCTCACTAAGAACAACTTCATGTAATTGTGACACCATACTGGCAGCTAAATTTTGAAATCTCTCAGCTAACTCATTCTTAACGCATCACATATATGCTATTGATTTTGAGACTTTATTTTCTACAGAAGTTGAGGAGTAAACATATTATTGTTATTGAGAAAATGAGTGAAACCCTTAAGTCAGCATGCTAGACTGATTGGTGGGCACAGGTTTATGTTTCTGTTATTATTCATTAGTTCTTTAACGGATACCTAGTAACTAGAAGTGGAAAAAATCCTGCTAGATTGTTCAGTCTTGTCTCGCTATCTGTAATTGCAGGTATTAATCTAATACCACAGACTAATGCCTATAAATATTTTATCTCAGAATTGCTTTGAAAAGAAAATCCATATGGTATAACAAGCAGGATACCACAGCTAGCCTTTGCCCTTTTGCATGCTTTGTGATGAAATTATGAGCTTTTTGAGATGTACCAGTTATTCAGATATAACCTTTGCTTTCACTGACTTCTACTAACAATTTGTCTTCTGAGTAGACAAACAGAGTTTATGGGCTAGATAAAGTAGCAGTTTTATTTCAAGCATGTGTTTTTATTAGACAGGACTAATAAAATCTTCAATGGATTTTGTGTATACTTGCAGAAATCTGTAAATGCCACCCAAAATTATGAATCGGAGGTGATTAGAGTTAATAGGCTACTCTAAAGGAAATTTGAAACTGGAAGGTCTTTTTACACGTGATTTAAATTATTTTGAAACATTAGTTTCAGAGAGAGGGAGAGAGAGCGTGAGAAGGAGAGAGAAAGGGAAAGATTTCTGGGCTCCTCTGGAAATGGGGTATAGAAGAGCGACTAAAACCAGTAACCTTACAGCACTTTCTATTAATGTCTGTATTAAATCAGGAAAGACCAGCGAATTATCAGAGAATTATTTTTCTTTCTGATTTCGTTACAAAAGTTCTTTGTTTACTCATATTATTGTTTCTTCTCCCCATTTTTAAAATCATCCTAGGTCCCCATCTTAGCACTGCACGCTACATTGAAGCCGTTTTACCGGCTTTTAACGTTTTTCAGTCCACCCCTTTGTGAGGAAAGAAACTAAGATCTTTGCTTGGTCTGCAGGTCAATGGGGCTCGTTGATCTTACTGTTCTGTCAAAAATTAAAAAAAATAAAATAAATAAAATGTAGGAATCAAAATTCCACAGAGAAAGAAAAAACATATTTTCTACACTCAGAAAGCAAACTACTGGGGAGCTGACAGAGATGAAAACGTTAAATTTGTTCAAACTAAAATATTCTCATAAATAAATGCATACCAAAGATTGCAAGCTATCATTGCTCTAAAATATCATAGAATTTCAGTATTATCTCCTTTATGCAGAGAAATAAGGTGCAGTTATACAATCAGCAGGACACGTTTTTAAAAACCTGGCATGAAAATCTATCTAGATATAGTGTGGCTGACAGAAAACATGCTGAGTTGGAGTTTGCTTTCAACATTTGTGTGGCTGCCAGAGTACTATACTCAGAGATATTTAGGCCAGAAGGGACATTAGATCATCTAGCCTGACCTTCTGTGTATCACAGGCCATTGCATGTTACCTAACTGCTCCTGTATTGAGTCCATCTAATCTGGCTTCAGCTGCCATCACTGGTTCTTGTTAAACCTGTCTTTACTAGTTTACAAAGAAAGTCTTTGAGCTATAATATTTTTCTTAATTTCTTAACCTTGATTATTGAGCTGTAGAATTTTTTGTTTGTTTGTTTTTTGTTCTTTTAAAAGTTTATTTCCTTATAATGCTCACAGAAAGTGAATTTATAATGGCATCAAAATAGCAGTGCAAACACACTATGACCCTGAAAAGAACATAAAAACGCATACTGTGTCAGAGCAAGAGCTGATCTAGCCCAATGTATTCCTCCCAACAGTGACCATAAGAAAATGCTCCCAAAAGGGCAAACACAGTTTTCCTGACTATTGTCCCAGATTCCAACTAGTTTCAGGTTGAAAGATTTCCTGAGACTGCCTGCCCTGATTCACCTTTCAACAGTAAGCTCCATAGATCTATTCCCTTTTACATCAGAAGTCATCTTTTGCTGATTTTGAACCTGGCTCCCATTAGCCAGACGATCCTCAGTAGAAGAGATGGTGCTCAACAGACCCTACACCACTCACAATTCTGGTGGACTGTGGTGGACCACTCTGCATCCTTCCAGGCTGCAGAGCCAGCTCTGCTCAGCCATCCCTGCTATGGAAGCCATACCTAACCTTTGGGCACTTCTGTCAGCCTCCCCTGAACCTTTTGCCATTTCCACTATGCTCCTGAAGTGTGGAACTCAGAACTGCAGGCAGCATTCAAGCTGTAGGTGCACCAGGAGCTTGTACTGCTGCATAGCTATGTTTGTTCCCTACTTCTTTCCTATTAGTTCTTAACATTCAATTTGCTTTTCTGATTTCTGGGACAGATTTGTTTTCATAGAACATATTCCAGAATCTTTCTCCTGAGTGCTAACAGTCAGCTCATGTATTTTATAAGTAAAGTCGAGTTTATTTTCCCCATATTGCTTTACATGCACCTCTATTGAATTTCTTTTGCTGTTCTATTGCTTGCTCGGTCTTGCAAGATCCTTCTGCATTATCTTAACCTGACCATATGAATATTTCCACGCATTTCACTTCACACACTGGGCAGAGGCCTATTTATGTGGCAGGAACAACATTTGTAGGCAAAGGTAAGAACTTTCAGAGTGCTGCACACACCCACGGCCAGCTTGAGCTGCAGCTAGGAAAGCCATTGTAGCCTAAAGAAGCTGCCAGCTCATGATGCAACCCCGAAAAGTAATTTAACCCAACCTGCTGGTGACAATGTCAGCATGGGTACATTTATTTGAGACTTTTTGAGACCTACAGTGCACAATGCGTTTGTACTCCATGAAGACAGGGCCAGGCCACTCACAATGCTACATGGCAGGAATATGGGAGACCATGGGTGAAAATTAAAATGAGAGGTTCAGGTGTGATACAGGGAGAAACTTTCCTCCCATGGGACAAGTTGCCCAAGAAGGCCATGCCAGCACAGTCCTCAGGGTTTACAGCTCTGAGCAGCCTGGCGTGGCCTCAGCGCTGAGCCTGCTGCCCCAGGGCTGGGATGGGGGTATCCTGAGTGCCAAGCCAGCTACAGCTGTCAGGGATCCCAGGATTTCAAATGCTTGAGAATAGCACTGTGAAATGTAACTAAATTACCTCTGTCTTGAAATGATTATACACCTGGTCTAGTTGGATCCATTTTGGGCCAAGCAGCTTGTTTCTGCTGGTACTTCGCTGTATAGGTGTACCCTATATTTTGCTTAATATTTGAAAAAAAGTAAGTTCAAAGTTCAAATTAACTCTTGGGAGCTTGTTTTTTTTTTTTTTTTTTTTGGATTTTTCCTTCTCAGAAGTGGCCAAACTGGATAAAAATAATTATCGGACTTCAAGCAGATATGTGTTTACTGAAAGGAAAGGCAGTTATTTTTCTTCCATGTCTGAGAGAGTATTTTCTGTGTTGCTAGTGAGACATGATTGTGACCAGAGATGGGTGTATGTGTATATAGACTGCATGACAAAATTTTCTTTTCATCCCAAATGGCTTTGAAAATGATATCAGATGGAAAATGTAGAAACAGAAAGGTAATCTGTCTATACAATGTCTCATTTAGCTGCTCTCTGAGGTTATCTGGGACTGTCTTAACCTACTTTTAATTGATTAGAAAAGTCTGAGTAATTGCCTGCACTAGATGCAGCCTTCCTCTGTGCAGACCTTTGTATCTTTTAGAAATTCATCACTTTTCTTCAATTATTTGTGCCCCCGGACTCCCCACCTCATCACTACTGGATCTAAGGAGAGGGGAGA